CAGTTGGAAGCTGAAGACACAGATGAATCACAGGGATGTTAGGAAGTATTTCTTCAGCCACAGAGTAGTCAGTAAGTGGAATAGTTTGGGAAGTGATGTAGTGGAGGCAGGATCCATACATAGCTTTAAGCAGAGGTATGATAAAGATCACGGCTCAGGGAGAGTGACCTAGTAGCGATCAGTGAAGAGGCGGGGCCAGGAGCTCGGACTCGACCCCCGCAACCTCAACTAGGTGAATACAACTAGGTGAGTACACATACACACACACACACACACACACACACACACACACATACACACACATATATACACACATATACACACATATACACACACATATAACACACACATACACACACACATATACACACATATAACACACACACACACACACACACACACACACACGCGCGCGCGCGCGCGCGCACACACACACACACACACACACACACACACACACACACACACACACACACACACACACACACACCCAACCACCCACGCAGGACTGCAAAGAGACATGGACAGGCTGGACATATGGTCCAGAAACTGGCTTCTCGAATTCAACCCTGCCAAATGCAAAATCATAAAGATTGGGGAGGGGCAAAGAAGACCGCAGACAGAGTATAGGCTAGGTGAACAAAGACTACAGACCTCACTAAGTGAGAAAGACCTTGGGGTGACCATAACACCGAGTACGTCACCGGAGGCACACATCAACCAAATAACTGCTGCAGCATACGGGCGCCTGGCAAACCTGAGAATAGCATTCCGATACCTTGATAAGGAATCGTTCAAGACACTGTACACTGTGTATGTTAGGCGCATACTGGAGTATGCAGCACCAGTCTGGAACCCACACCTGGCCAAGCACGTCAAGAAGTTAGAGAAAGTACAAAGGTTTGCAACAAGGCTAGTCCCAGAGCTCAGGGAAATGTCGTACGAGGAAAGGTTGAGGGAAATCGGACTAACGACAGAACGGACTAACGGACAGAAGGGTCAGGGGAGAATAACGACATACAAGATACTGCGGGGAATAGACAAGGTGGACAGAGATAGGATGTTCCAGAGAGGGGACACAGAAATAAGGGGTCACAACTGGAAGCTGAAGACTCAGACGAGTCACAGGGACGTTAGGAAGTATTTCTTCGGTCATAGAGTCGTCAGGAATTGGAATAGCCTAGCAAGTGAAGTAGTGGAGGCAGGAACCATACTTAGTTTTAAGAAGAGGTATGACAAAGCTCAGGAAGCAGAGAGGGAGAGGACCTAGTAGCGATCAGTGAAGAGGCGGGGCCAGGAGCTGAGTCTCGACCCCTGCAACCACAATTAGGTGAGTACAATTAGGTGAGTACACACACACACAACAGGCCTAGTGTCTAATCGACATTTGCCTAGGACAAAATGGTAACTAACACACACTACTACACTAACTGACCTCGTTGAAAGTCCAACCTTTGACACACTCTGAATTTTTTTTAATGGAAATTAACCTACTGCACTATCTTTGATGTCAATTTTACCCTTGCACTCAACGCCGACCTTCACTAACTCCAAACTTTGCACATCCCTGCCCCTCGCTTACTTCTAACCTCTGTACATTCCTACTTTTTCATATCCTTTCCAGCAGTGATATATGACCCTTAAGGTTTAGCACTTTCACAGATTATTATAAAAAAAAATATACAGGAAGACACTGTTCTTCAATCCCGCTTACCTGAAGTTTATGTGGATATCTTTCACAGGTTCACCTGAAGACGATTAGCTTGGCCAGGTATACTCGAGGTATAACGCGATATTTGAACAGTTTTCCCCGAGCAAGAGTTATCACATGCATGCAAACGTAAGAGTTTATCACATCTTTATCATCACAAGTTCACGTGGGTGCACGTCCAGTGTGGTTGACAAGTGTAAAATCACATGACTTAAGTCACGTTCCATAAAATCCCAGTGAGAGAATCAAACACCTCTCGATGTACATACTCTGAGATATATATACCTCTCGGTGTACATACAATGTGAGATACGTACACTTCTCGGTGTACACTCAGCGAGATACGGCACCTATCGGTAAATATACACTGAGAAATACACACACCTCCCGGTGTATACAAACATCTCCCGGTGTATATAGTCTCAAAGAATATGTTTAAAATAACAACTCATAAAGAAATACCGTAGTCTAGTCGACAGGGGAACTGTACAAAGGCGGGACCCCGAGTTTTAAAATAGTCTCGGGTGGAAGAACTTATGTTGCTACTCCAACACAGAGACAGATATAGAGACTGAGACAGACTGAGAGACGGAGAGACCATTGTGACAGCCTTCAAGGAGAGGAGGAAGGGCAGTGGCGTGCAGAGGTCTGGTGATGCCCGGGGCCAACTCCTTGAATGTATGATCCAAAGACTCCTTGATTGTATGCCCAAATCACTATCTTGTTTCCCTCTCTAATTAGATCCCCCCCCCTCATTTGGATTCCCGGGGCCACCGCCCCTTCGGCACCCCCCTCTGCCCGCCACTAAGGCAGGGGGTGCCTTTATGCCTGTCCATAATGCTCTGCATAAAAGGGGCTTTGGCATGTTGCACTGTTCAATGAAGGGATAAACCGTAGAAGTCAACCAGTCCCTTGGGAACAGGAGGTAATGAGGCTTGATTCGAGGAAGGAGAGGATGGCTCCAATTATTTAGATAAAGAGCCCTTTACCGTCCTCAAGACACCTCCCCCCCCCCTTGAAGAAGAGGAAGAGGTGGGAAGAGTACAGTATAATTGATGTGCACAACTACAGGGTAACATATAATGGGAGGGCAGGGTAGAACATAATTGCAGGGTAACACATAATGGGAGGGCAGGGTAGAACATAATTGCAGGATAACACATAATGGGAGGGCAGGGCAGAACATAATTGCAGGGTAACATATAATGGGAGGGCAGGGTAGAACAATTGCAGGGTAACATATAATGGGAGGGCAGGGTAGAACATAATTACAAGGTAACACATAATGGGAGGGCATGGTAGAACATAATTGCAGGGTAACATATAATGGGAGGGCAGGGTAGAACATAATTGCAGGGTAATATATAATGGGAGGGCAGGGTAGAACATAATTGCAGGGTAATATATACTGGGAGGGCAGGGTAGAACATAATTGCAGGGTCCCTGGACCCATTATGTACCTCTGCAATCTTTTGACTACCGCCCACAGGATGGGTATGGGGTGCATAATAAACATATTAAACTAAAATATAATGGGAGGGTAGAGTATAATTGGAGGATTGTGTCGTCCAGCACAAGGCAGGTGTCATGTATCACCTTCTAGGGTAGCGTCTTAATACATTGGCAGGTGGAGAGAGGCGGGTGACATATGAACAAGAGGATACTCACACGAGGACACATGGGAGCACAGTCAGTGCTTGTGTAGAATCTTGTGTCCTCCAGGTTGCCATCACCACCCCTCACCACTGTCAGCCACCAGTACTTAAATGCACCACCACCACATCTGCTGCTTTTTTCAGCTTGCACCAACACAATCACCACCACTACAACAACATCTCCACCACCACCACTACAACAACAACAATCTCTGAAAGACCACAACACCAACAACAACAAAAGTGGGTGGTGTGCTACCACAGTAGGCAACCCTCTCCCAAGGTGTCACACGTGTAAGAATGTGTAATTGACAAGACAACAACAAACCATCCTCCCCCCCCCCCCCACTAACCAGTACTGGATAAAATAAAGTACTGGTAATACTAGATGGAATAAAGGAACACTCACTAAACATCTCCATGTAGGAAAAAATGGTTATAATCATAACTATAATTTTTAAAGGGGTGGACCGGTAAGCCAGAGGAAGGTCTCGGTCAGATGACCAAAAACTGCAACTGTGAGTCATCATATGGCTAAAACCCACAAAAGGAAACACTTATCCTGTTTCCTGACCTAACCTAACACCTCCATGCAAATCTTACAGAATCTGACAAAACACCTCATTGTTAATGATATCTAAAATCTTGAGGTTGTATCCACATTTTGCATCGCCTAGATGCACGAACTGTTTTTATAGATTAAAACTCGGTTATGACCAATGTTTTTAGTGGTATTTTTATTTATTTTTTTTTATTTTTTGAGATGGCATTCCTTACTGTACTGTGTGCAGCTATATGAAGTAACTGTAAAATATGAAATGGCTAGCATTTCTTTCTAGCGATGTAACAGTGCTTAGTAGGGTCTGACACCCATTGTGACCTCTGTATATTTTTTTGCGCTACCACTCACACGATGAGCTGCAGACGGTGTATAATACACTAAAAGTTCATGCAGCACAACTACACTCACAAAACACAACAGGATTTTGCATGTGGTGTATTTCAACGCTTGTTCACAAAATGTCAAAGTATTTTATCCACAGTGGCATATAACAATTCAATCTGGAAAAATACCCTAATATTGTCTAGTGTAAATATAACGAATAACCACTTGTTTAAATTCAAGCATACCTTGTTAAAATATAAGGTAATATATATAATTCAACACTATAGATCTTACAGTCCAAACGTAGATCTACGTTCAAGTGCTTAGCGTTCCGAACGTAATTTCTATTTTTTTCACATAAGCATGTAAAACAGAAAGTTCGGAGCGCTACGTACGTGAACGTAGATCTACGTTTGGACTGTTTAACATTGTAATATTTTTGTGACTATGTCTGCATAAATAACTCATTACGACTGTAACCAGATATAAACATATGAACAGTTCATTATCACTGTAAGTTGCTTAGTTATCAAAATTTTGAGGCCCAGTCCCTGGACCCATTACGTGCTTCTGGAATCTTTCGGCTACCACCCACAGGATTAGTATGGAGTTCATAATAAAGAAATAAACTACTAACTTCTGCTGTGATCATGAAATCAAGTTTGTAAAGTATTTTTCCTACGTCACTCCCTGCCTTCCTCCAGGACACAAAACACTAACGTCACTGCCTTCTCCACCTCCCTCAGCCATGAGCACCAACGCCATGCGAGGCATCCGGAGGAAGAAGTCATCACTTTCCGAGGTGAAGATTGCAGTGCTGGGAGCCCCGGGTGTCGGTAAGAGTGGTGAGTGTCCCTCCTGTGTTCACACATTGTTTACCTTGTATTAACGTTTTGTTTATGTGGAGTTAACATCTTGTTTATGTGTTGTGGCCACATCGTATATATGTTCTGTTCAACGTCGAGTTGGCTGTTTATTTGTCAGGAAACACAGCAAGTGTCTTCTGACTGATTTTTTACCAAATGACGACCCATAACTGGTTAATCAACCGCTGGTCTTGAAGAATCACTGCATTATGGAATTCTATGATGTTTCTATGTTACCTCTACATTATGTTCAAACTATTTTCACATGGTAATGTCATGTACCCGCCGTCTCCACCTCGAGAGCACTCCATGTCACGACTGACGAGCTCCTGAGATTTAGTAATTACGTTAATAAAATCAGCTGATTTAACCTAGTCAACCATATTGGACATCCAGCCGTGTGAACTTGTGTTGAAAAACAGATGTGATAAGCTATTATGATCTTATGTGTGGGATAACTCATGCTCGGGAAAACTCTTCAGATATCGCGTTAAACACTTGTCAAGTAGAGTTAGTCTCCTTCAAGATAAACATGTGAAAGATATCTACATATGATGCAGCTGGAAGGGTTGATACATAACGTGTTCCTCTTGCCAAGTGCTCTGTTCCACCAGTTTGTTAAATCTGACAGTGCACCATTTCCCGACTTCACACCTCATGATTTATATCTTTACATGTTGAACAATCTCTCTCTACACTGAAATTCTTGATGTACACCAGGCAAAAGTGGGAAAGGACTTTTTGGCATGGTTATTAACTCCGACTTTACGACCCCAGCCAAGAAGCACTGTGACAGCCCACTGCCAGATGACAATGTAATAAACTAGGGCAAGAAACTATTATTTACAGTTACTTAATAAGGAGTCAAGAAGCTGTACGAAGCTCTCAGCAAGTTTAGGTGTTAGGCAAGCATTATTTACTGTACTCCCACAATACTGCAGGCACTACACAATACTGCAGGCACTACACAATACTGCAGGCACTACACAATACTGTAGGCACTATACAATACTGCACGCACTACACAATACTGCACGCACTACACAATACTGCAGGCACTACACAATACTGTAGGCACTATACAACAGTACTGTAGGCACTATACAACAGTACTGTAGGCACTATACAACCCATTACTGGAGTTTACCTGGAGAGAGTTCCTGGGGTCAACGCCCTCGCGGCCCGGTCTGTGACCAGGCCTCCTGGTGGATCAGAGCCTGATCAACCAAGCTGTTACTGCTGCTGTAGGCACTATACAACCCATTACTGTAGGCACTACACAATACTACAGGCACTACACTCCAATACTGCAGACACTACACTCCACAATACTGCAGGCACTACACAACACAATACTGCAGGCACAACACAATACTGTAGGCACTACACAATACTGCAGGCACTACACAATACTGCAGGCACTACACAATACTACAGGCACTACACTCCACAGTACTGCAGGCACAACACAATACTGTAGGCACTAGACAACACAATACTGTAGGCACTACACAACACAGTACTGTAGGCACTACACAACACAATACTGTAGGCACTACACAACACAGTACTGTAGGCACTACACAGCACAGTACTGTAGGCACTACACAGCACAATACTGTAGGCACCAAAATGCAAGGAGGCTGAGGAGAGGTTTGTACCCAAGGGTAACAGGAATAATGAAAAAGCCAGGATGAGCCCATGGTTTACCCAAAGGTGCAGGGAGGCAAAAACCAAGTGTGCTAGGGAATGGAAGAAATATAGAAGGCAAAGGACCCAGGAGAATAAGGAGAGCAGTCGTAGAGCCAGAAACGAATATGCACAGATAAGAAGGGAGGCCCAAAGACAATATGAAAATGACATAGCAGCGAAAGCCAAATCTGACCCGAAACTGTTGTACAGCCACATCAGGAGGAAAACAACAGTCAAGGACCAGGTAATCAGGCTAAGGAAGGAAGGAGGAGAGACAACAAGAAATGACCGTGAAGTATGTGAGGAACTCAACAAGAATTCAAAGAAGTGTTCACAGAGGAGACAGAAGGGGCTCCAGAAAGACGGAGAGGTGGGGCACACCACCATGTGCTGGACACAGTGCACACAACCGAGGAAGAAGCGAAGAGGCTTCTGAGTGAGCTAGATACCTCAAAGGCAATGGGGCCAGATAACATCTCCCCATGGGTATTGAGAGAGGGAGCAGAGGCGCTATGTGTACCCCTAACAACAATATTCAATACATCTATCGAAACAGGGAGATTGCCTGAGGCATGGAAGACAGCAAATGTAGTCCCAATCTTTAAAAAAGGAGACAGACATGAAGCATTAAACTACAGGCCAGTGTCACTGACATGTATAGTATGCAAAATCATGGAGAAGATTATCAGGAGAAGAGTGGTGGAACACCTAGAAAGGAATGATCTCATCAACAGCAGCCAACATGGTTTCAGGGACGGGAAATCCTGTGTCACAAACCTACTGGAGTTCTATGACATGGTGACAGCAGTAAGACAAGAGAGAGAGGGGTGAGTGGATTGCATATTCTTGGACTGCAAGAAGGCGTTTGACACAGTTCGACACAAGAGATTGGTGCAAAAACTGGAGGACCAAGCAGGGATAACAGGGAAGGCACTACAATGGATCAGGGAATACTTGTCAGGAAGACAGCAGCGAGTCATGGTACGTGGCGAGGTGTCAGAGTGGGCACCTGTGACCAGCGGGGTCCCACAGGGGTCAGTCCTAAGACCAGTGCTGTTTCTGGTATTTGTGAACGACATGACGGAAGGAATAGACTCTGAAGTGTCCCTGTTTGCAGATGACGTGAAGTTGATGAGAAGAATTCACTCGATCGAAGACCAGGCAGAACTACAAAGGGATCTGGACAGGCTGCAGACCTGGTCCAGCAATTGGCTCCTGGAGTTCAATCCCACCAAGTGCAAAGTCATGAAGATTGGGGAAGGGTAAAGAAGACCGCAGACGGAGTACAGTCTAGGGGGCCAGAGACTACAAACCTCACTCAAGGAAAAAGATCTTGGGGTGAGTATAACACCAGGCACATCTCCTGAAGCGCACATCAATCAAATAACTACTGCAGCATATGGGCGCCTAGCAAACCTCAGAACAGCATTCCGACATCTTAATAAGGAATCGTTCAGGACCCTGTACACCGTGTACGTTAGGCCCATGTTGGAGTATGCGGCACCAGTTTGGAACCCACACCTAGCCAAGCACGTAAAGAAACTAGAGAAAGTGCAAAGGTTTGCAACAAGACTAGTCCAGAGCTAAGGTATGTCCTACGAGAGAGGTTAAGGGAAATCAACCTGACGACACTAGAGGACAGGAGAGATAGGGGGGACATGATAACGACATACAAAATACTGAGAGGAATTGACAAGGTGGACAAGGACAGGATGTTCCAGAGATTGGACATAGTAACAAGGGGACACAGTTGGAAGTTGAAGACAGATGAATCACAGGGATGTTAGGAAGTATTTCTTCAGCCACAGAGTAGTCAGTAAGTGGAATAGTTTGGGAAGCGATGTAGTGGAGGCAGGATCCATACATAGCTTTAAGCAGAGGTATGATAAAGCTCACGGTTCAGAGAGAGTGACCTAGTAGCGATCAGTGAAGAGGCGGGGCCAGGAGCTCGGGCTCGACCCCCGCAACCTCAACTAGGTGAGTACAGTACTGTAGGCACTACACAACACAGTACTGTAGGCACTACACAACACAATACCGTAGGCACTACACAACACTGTAGGCACTAGACAACACAGTACTGTAGGCACTAGACAACACAGTGCTGTAGGCGCTACACAACACAGTACTGTAGGCACTACACAACACAGTACTGTAGGCGCTACACAACACAGTGCTGTAGGCGCTACACAACACAGTACTGTAGGCACTACACAACACAGTACTGTAGGCACTACACAACACTGTAGGCACTACACAACACAATACTGTAGGCACTACACAACACAGTACTGTAGGCACTACACAACACAGTACTGTAGGCACTACACAACACAGTACTGTAGGCGCTACACAACACAGTGCTGTAGGCGCTACACAACACAGTACTGTAGGCACTACACAACACAGTACTGTAGGCACTACACAACACTGTAGGCACTACACAACACAGTACTGTAGGCACTACACAACACAGTACTGTAGGCACTACACAACACAATACTGTAGGCACTACACAACACTGTAGGCACTACACAATACTGTAGGCACTACACAACACAGTACTGTAGGCACTACACAACACAGTACTGTAGGCACTACACAACACAATACTGTAGGCACTACACAACACTGTAGGCACTACACAACACAATACTGTAGGCACTACACAACACAGGTATGTAGGCACTACACAACACAGTACTGTAGGCACTACACAACACAATACTGTAGGCACTACACAACACAGTACTGTAGGCACTACACAACACAATACTGTAGGCAAATTTCACAACCCCAGTACTGTAGGCAAATACACAACACAATACTGTAGGCACTACACAACACTGTAGGCACTACACAACACAATACTGTAGGCACTACACAACACAGTACTGTAGGCACTACACAACACAGTACTGTAGGCACTACACAACACAGTACTGTAGGCGGCACTACACAACACAATACTGTAGGCACTACACTCCACAATACTGTAGGCACTACACAACACAGTACTGTATGCACTACACAACACAGTACTGTAGGCGCTACACAACACAGTGCTGTAGGCGCTACACAACACAGTTTAATGTAGGCACTAACAACACAGTACCCGTAGGCACACACAACACTGTTTGGCACTACACAACACAGTACTGTAGGCACTACACAACACAGTACTGTAGGCACTACACTCCACAATACTGTAGGCGCTACACAACACAGTACTGTAGGCGCTACACAACACAGTGCTGTAGGCGCTACACAACACAGTACTGTAGGCACTACACAACACAGTACTGTAGGCACTACACAACACTGTAGGCACTACACAACACAATACTGTAGGCACTACACAACACAGTACTGTAGGCACTACACAACACAGTACTGTAGGCACTACACAACACAGTACTGTAGGCGCTACACAAAAACAGTGCGTAGGCGCTTACACAACCAGTACTGTAGGCACTACACAACACAGTACTGTAGGCACTACACAACACTGTAGGCACTACACAACACAGTACTGTAGGCACTACACAACACAGTACTGTAGGCACTACACAACACAATACTGTAGGCACTACACAACACTGTAGGCACTACACAACACAATACTGTAGGCACTACACAACACAGTACTGTAGGCACTACACAACACAGGGACTGTAGGCACTAACAAACACAATACTGTAGGCACTACACAAAAACTGTAGGCACTACACAAACACAATACTGTAGGGACTACACAACACAGTACTGTAGGCACTACACAACACAGTACTGTAGGCACTACACAACACAATACTGTAGGCACTACACAACACAGTACTGTAGGCACTACACAACACAATACTGTAGGCACTACACAACACAGTACTGTAGGCACTACACAACACAATACTGTAGGCACTACACAACACTGTAGGCACTACACAACACAATACTGTAGGCACTACACAACACAGTACTGTAGGCACTACACAACACAGTACTGTAGGCACTACACAACACAGTACTGTAGGCGGCACTACACAACACAATACTGTAGGCACTACACTCCACAATACTGTAGGCACTACACAACACAGTACTGTAGGCACTACACAACACAGTACTGTAGGCGCTACACAACACAGTGCTGTAGGCGCTACACAACACAGTACTGTAGGCACTACACAACACAGTACTGTAGGCACTACACAACACTGTAGGCACTACACAACACAGTACTGTAGGCACTACACAACACAGTACTGTAGGCACTACACTCCACAATACTGTAGGCGCTACACAACACAGTACTGTAGGCACTACACAACACAGTACTGTAGGCACTACACAACACAGTACTGTAGGCACTACACTCCACAATACTGTAGGCACTACACAACACAGTACTGTAGGCACTACACTCCACAATAATGTAGGCACTACACAACACAGTACTGTAGGCACTACACAACACAGTACTGTAGGCACTACACTCCACAATACTGTAGGCGCTACACAACACAGTACTGTAGGCACTACACAACACAGTACTGTAGGCACTACACTCCACAATACTGTAGGCACTACACAACACAGTACTGTAGGCACTACACAACACAATACTGTAGGCACTACACAACACAGTACTGTAGGCACTACACAACACAATACTGTAGGCACTACACAACACAGTACTGTAGGCACTACACAACACAATACTGTAGGCACTACACAACCACTGTAGGCATACACAAACACATAGTAGGCACTACACAACACAGTACTGTAGGCACTACACAACACAGTACTGTAGGCACTACACAACACAGTACTGTAGGCACTACACTCCACAATACTGTAGGCACTACACAACACAGTACTGTAGGCACTACACTCCACAATACTGTAGGCACTACACAACACAGTACTGTAGGCACTACACTCCACAATACCGTAGGCGCTGCACAACACAGTACTGTAGGCACTACACAACACAGTACTGTAGGCACTACACAACACAGTACTGTAGGCACTACACTCCACAATACTGTAGGCGCTGCACAACACAGTACTGTAGGCACTACACAACACAGTACTGTAGGCACTACACAACACAGTACTGTAGGCACTACACTCCACAATACTGTAGACTACACAACACAGTATGTAGGACTACACAACACAGTACTGTAGGCACTACACTCCACAATACTGTAGCGTTTTTTTTCACAACACAGTACTGTAGGCAACACACAACACAGTACTGTAGGCACTACACTCCACAATACTGTAGGCACTACACAACACAGTACTGTAGGCACTACACAACACAGTACTGTAGGCACTACACTCCACAATACTGTAGGCGCTACACAACAGTACTGTAGGCACTACACAACACAGTACTGTAGGCACTACACAACACAGTACTGTAGGCACTACACAACACAGTACTGTAGGCACTACACAACACATTTCTGTAGGCTACACAACACGTAATGTAGGCCATACACAAAATAGTAATGTAGGCACTACACAACACAGTACTGTATGCACTACACAACACAGTACTGTAAGGCACTACACAACCACAGTACTGTAGGCACTACACAACACAGTACTGTAGGCACTACACTCCACAATACTGAAGGCACAAAAGCTGTTAGTGTAACTCTCCCGAACTCCTTGACAACTTTATACTGCCTCCAAACACATAACTCAGCCTGTGTGACTTGCTTACTGAATGCAATTTAAGTATTTTCAGAAATTAAAATAGAACTTGAGCATGTAATTAAAAACTATTATTATTATTATTTATTATTAGTAGTAGTAGTAGTAGTAGTAGTAGTAGTAGTAAGTAGTAGTAGTAGTAGTAGTAGTATTGCTCTAGTTGTTAAGTTTATAATTTTTGAAAAAATTACTTTAGGCTTCAACAAGAAGCTTCCAACTTTATTCCACTTTAAGGCATAAACTCCCTCATTCTTGTTTCCTAAATCCTCTGGGTTTCCTGGTGGGTTATTCTGGAATCACCCCCTCTTGTCACTCCACCCAACAGCCAACAAATAATAAAAAAAAAAAAACCCCCCTTTATTTAAAGGACACATTTCTTTTGATAAAATCCCGTGCGTAAAAGGTGTCCCTTTTCACCATTCATCTCTCTTCCCATTACAAACCGCTGACCGCATAGTGCATCCCTTCCCATTCTTTTTCCCCTGCTTTAATAGCTCCCAGTTAATTATAAATTTTTTGGGTAGTTCTATCGTGATAATGAAAAGATTTTAAAAGTACCCCAATAACCTATTTTTAATTTTAAGTAATCTGTAAGCTTGCATTAATCTGCCCGGAATGTTCAGGCATGTTAGTGGCTTTCTTTGAACCTAACAACATTTAATTAAATGTAAATCACTCATTGTAACATTGTAACATTTGCCAAGAAATAAAAATTTGTATCTGTAATATAACCATATTTTGGGAAGGAGAGTCAGACAGACATTTGACTCCTAGTAGTAAAATGTTGACACAATTTTTATTCACAGATGGCTTAATGTTTCTCTTGTTTGTGTCACAGTTGGCTTGATGTATATTTTACGGCTAGCTTGATGCTTATTTAACAGCTGGTTTGATGTATATTTCAAGCTGGTTTGATGTACATTTCACGGTTGGCTTGATGCTTCTTTAACAGCTGGTTTGATGTATATTTCACAACTGGCTTGATGTATATGTCACAGCTGGCTTGATATATATTTCACAGCTGGCTTTATGTATATTTCACAGCTTGCTTGATGCTTATTTCATAGCTGGCTTGATGTTTATTTCACAGATGACAGTGTTTCACAGCTGGTTTGATGTATATTTCACATCTGGCTTATTTTTTTTCAGCACTGATCGTCAGATTCCTCACTAAGAGATACATCGGAGAATACGATCACCAGGCAGGTATGTTCCACACCAAATTTTCATATATATAATGTTCTTTTCCAGTTCTGATGTTCTAAACAGGTAGAACTTTTATTCTTGATAATTCTGGCATTATTTTTTTATACCTTGTTATAGTTTATTTATAACTTGTTCTTGTTATATTCAATGAGGTAGTATTGTTTTTCTATATTTGTGATTATATTGACGTTGTTCAATTTGAGTAAGGTTGAACGTTCCTCTTATAATCTGGTGTTCTAAATAATAATACAAATTATAATAGTAAGTCATCAGCCTTCCAAAAAACAATTAGCACCGTTATTTGTGTGCCTATTTTTAGTAGCTAGTAAATTATTATTATTATTATTATTATTATTATTATTATTATTATTATTATTATTTTATATTTGAATGGAAACTTTGGGTATGTTTCCTAGCTTGTGTTATCCCGCTTCTCCTGGTAGTAAGTAGGTACCGGCTGTTGTGGGTGGCATCCTGGGCAAGAAGATCAGAAGACCACAATGGAAATAAGCCATAGTGCTCAACCTTCTTGAGTTATCCTGATTTATTAATGAGTTTAATAATCTTGGGTTATGTTAAGTAATTATCTTCGGGTCAGTATTCCTAATAAAAATTTTTTCTTCCCTTTTCAGCTCTGAAATCATGTCATATTTTAGATATTACAGCCTCACTTATATATAAAACTTCTTGTGGGTGGTGTGTCCGCAAATTTAATTTATATATAATACTCTCGTAACGTTTCCATCGACTACGTTAATTATGTTGTAATTATGGGAAAGCGCTAAACTCTTAGTAGTCATATAGCGCTAGGAGAGATTGGAACATAATCATATATATATAATCCCAAGAAAGGAAGGGTACCTCGAGTTCCTTAGATAAAGAGCCCTTCACTAGCATCAAGGTATTCGGTATCACGGCTGCTGTGTTTTGATTTAGCGAGCTAACATAGCATGCAGCTTCACAGCATTTGATGGCTCCTCAATTTAACTTTATAGGTTATTTAAGTTTGGCAGAAAGAGCTCATAACTGTCTGTCAGTGTCGAATTAGTGTCAATTAGGCTGTAATTTTCCCGAAGTGCCACAGAGCAGCTGTGAAGGATAACCATCTCATTTCATTATTGAACCAATGAAGGGTACCGGACGGCTGAGTGTTTTCGCTGATACGTTTGTTGGGGTTAAGTCCAAGTCTTGGTTCATGGTCTCTTTATCTTAAGCTTCATCGGGAGGCATTGCTAGTTTCTGGCATTTTGAGTTATAATAATGTCAACAATTTCAAATACGTTAGCTGTGGTGCCACGGACTTCAAATACTATCAGATAAGCAGACTTTGAATTGCTGGACGCCCCGCTGTGAGGAGTCTGACACATACCCTCAGACAGACAGGACGTAAGACTGCAGGCTGGGCTTCCTACTCATTTATTCTCAATATACGTGTTTACTGTCTCTGTGAGTTATCATTTAGCATTTTCTCCACTTAGAACCCTTCGACAATATACCCGCTTTTGAAACTGTGTTGAAAGTTATCCTCCGCTACTCGCCTACCTCGTTGCACTACCCTATTGCCCTGAGGCTGAAAAGTACTTACTAATGTTCTCGGGGCTTGTCTGTGTTTTTACCTGCTATATCCCCATCTCATGTTTCTGGTTATTGCGTATAAAGCATTCTTTGTCCATACCTGCCCAATATGATATTTTGAGTATCTTATATGTCGTAATCACGTCTCACGAAGTACTGCTCTCTTCCAGAGTCATCTGGCTCATTTTTTTTAGTTTCTCATCGCAGTAGTCTGTTGCATTCCTTCAGAACTTTTTATGTATCAAAATAGATGGGGGTTCCACGCTCATGCTGCATATCTAAGTAGTATATGACTGACTATATTAGGTACAGAACCCTACATCATTCTGTATTGGGGCTCCTAAAGGCTATTCTGAGATAACTTAGCCTCGCACAGGCTCCTTATCAGGCCTTGATCCATCAGGAGGCCTGGTCTGGGACCAGGCTGCGAGGACGTTAACCCCGGAAAACATCCTTCAGGTATCCTTACCTGGAGGTTATTCCGGGGATCAACGCCCCCGCGGCCCGGTTCATGACCAGGCCTCCCGGTGGATCAGGGCCTGATCAACCAGGCTGTTACTGCTTGCCGCACGCAGTCCAACGTACGAGCCACAGCCCGGCTGATCCGGCACTGACTTTATGTATCTGTCCAGCTCTCTCTTGAAGGCAGCCAGGGGTTTATTGGTAATTCCCCTGTGCTTCGGTGATATATTCAGTATGATGATTACTCACAGATCTCCCTCTGTACTCCGTCTCCAATCTTCCTTTATCTTTATGTTTATGGAAAGGCAGCACCCATTAGTGTCATCACCCGTGTAAGGTGCTTAGGACTCCCTGAGAACCCTCCTTTGCCTTTTCCTGTTTGTGATCTCAGTATTCTCACAACAGTGAAGGAAAGACACTTGTTGGAACAAGCTTCTGTTGCAAGAACGACGTTTCGTTCTGTAGAGTTTTATCAAGTTATGACAGCTCTGCACAGAGCGAAACATTGTCCCAATAAAAAATTATTCCGCAGCCTGTCTTTTTCTTGCCCAGTGACTCAGCTTTCGTAGAAAATACCTTCCAGTTACAGCAATTGACATTAATGTATCCACTCTATAAATACACTTAACATAGCCTTGGTTTGGAACGCCCAAGAACTCTTGCCTAAATATAGACATATCTTCCATCTAGCCGTATAGTAGTAGTGACTGTAAATCTGGCACCAGAGTGATGCCTGCTAGCTAATGATCCGAAAAGCCTAAATTTGCATGACTGATGACGCGTGAAGGCAAGGTGGGTGTCTATGGTAACGCAGAAAAAATGTGGGCGTGGGGTGTTGTAGGTATGTATATTTTACGTTGCTGACGTGTGTTGTGGGCGTGAATGTAGTTGTGTTGGGTAAATTATTTTACTGTATAATTTTGAGGTAGGTAGGTATAATGTTTGTCAGGAAACAGGAGAAGTGTTTCCTTACGCTGGTTTTAGTCATATGATGACCCACAGCTGGAGCTTTTGTTCATCTGACCGAGACCTTCCACTGGCTTACTGTCTACCTCTTTAAAAATCATGGTTATGATTATAACCATTATTTGTAATATATTATAATTTTGAGGTGATGTCACAATGTTGATAGATTTTGGGAAAATACGAGAATGTCTCCCTCGGGCATACTATGATATTATTATTATTATTATTATTATTATTATTATTATTAATTATATTTTTTGCTAGACACATAATATATCATCACATCATATATGTCTATAGAACCTTGAGCCCAGCTTTCCTCGAGGAATGCAGTTACCTACAATTTTTTAGAGCCTACATACCCAACACACTTGCAGCAGAGAGGCTGTGAAAATCTTTTTCAACAGTAGGAGACAAAGTAATATGCTCCAGACCGGTGCAGTGTTTCCCAGGAAGGCAGATTATGGCGGATGTACACAATTTTATTTTTCAAAGCATTACCCACTCGGTCAGAGGAAACTTGTGACGCCGTTTCGGTCTTGGATGGACCGAAATGTCGTCGCCATTACTTCTTACACCATGGAAAAGTTAATGACAAAGAGGACAACACATGCTGGTGGCATAGTGACTTCATAGCTCGAGTCTAGGCTACTCCATGTGGGGACAGGCTATTATTTACGCTAGTAACCCAAGGTAACTATAAAGTCGCGACCCACACCAGTCGCCTAGCACCCAGTTACCTACTTACTGCTAGGTGAACAGGGACAGTTAAAGGAAACATGCCCTACATTTCCGCTCGTCTGAGAATCGAACCCCTGTCCCTCAATGGGAGGAAATCTCCATGAACCATTAAACAAAGCAAAGAGTGAACACAAATATGCTTGCGAAAAGGGGTGATACAACTAGCTCCCGCACCAAGCACAATCATCTCAAGAAACCAAAGGCATCAGACCTGAATTGACCTAACACATTTTTACCTAAGAAGGACGCTGCCGTTACGTAAACTCTACCCACAACCTGACTGAACCCATCATACATACTTTGTGCTACAAAGCCTCCCAGTGGGCGAAACGTCTCCTCAATCAGTGTCTAATACCGCATGTCTGCTATGTTTGACGTCTGAGTGTGTACCATCCTGACCAGGCGACTTCACGACCCCTGGGAGTGTCTTCAGTATACCTGAAAACTGAAGCTCCTTCACGGCGATTTCTTATGATCTTACTTGTTTAGTTCTTCCGGCCCTTCGTAGATTTTTAAGATGTTTCTTGAGACTTGTTTAAACTTGGGAATACCTGTGGCTTGTCATATTAGTGTGTGCATTTGGGGCAGAAGAGGTTACAAACCTAAAAGGGCCTTTCTTAAGATAATCACACACACACACACACGTCACATTAATCTTCTCAAGCAGCAAGAATTTAGCATGGGTTGTAGCACGAGTCTGACAATATGTTGGTAATTCCCTCTCCAGACCCCTGACGCCAGTCCCCACAGACCCCTAAACACTCCTCTTCCTCAAGACTCCTCAACCTCTCTAGACCCCACACCCCAGTCTCTAGGGCACATGATGCCATAATTCAACCCACAAAGGGTGCTATATCTCAGAATCCCACCACATGAGTGCCCCTCCCTCCCGGCCACTTGCAACTTACTCGTTATAATAAAACTGGTGACAGGGAAGGTGGCGATGACAACTCTGCTGTGATTCACACTCGCGCATAGGAGACTCGACCCCTGCACAAACATGTACATTTTCTCTATCTCTCTCTCTCATATTCCTTATTTTCTTTTAACTCATTGCCATTTTTTCTCTTTAATATATATATATATATTATATATATATATATATATATATATATATATATATATTATATATATATATATATATAACCACCACTCAGTTCCTTTCCAGTGCTAAAATAATTAGCCTACCTGCAGTGCTAGTGTGTGAGCTCACTCACCTCACACACTGAGGTCCGGGGGTCGATCCCCGGTACGAGTGGAAACATTATGACGTGTTTCCTTAAAACGCCTGCTGTCCCTATTTCACCTATCAGTAAAATAGGTACCTGGGTATTAGTCGACTTGTGTGGGTCGCATCCTAGGAACAAGATTGACCTAATTTGCCAGAAACGCTCTGCATAACAAGGGGTTTTCTATATAGTAGTATGTCATTGATGTCAGCTAGGCCTGTATACCTTGTACATGTACTTGTAGAAATAAAGATTACTTATTATTATTATTATTAATGATTGTTTTATGTCTTCTCTTCCTACCAACACGACTATTCTACCTGTACCAACACCTTTGTTACTTTACAAACACCTTTGATAGGGTGCCAAGAATTCTCAAAAAGTTTCAGCATGTTTGATGCCCCAACCAACATCTGAAGTGCCGTGCCAACAACTGCCACACTACACTGGCCCATCTCACTAACAACACCTCTGACATCGTGCCAACACAATCTAGCAACGTCACGCAGTGCCTGCACTCACTCACTGCCAACAACACTGGCACACTGCCAACCTCTGTCACACTGTAATCTCCTATACGCTTCTAAATCCTGTGACCCCTGCCAACGTTCCTGACATCAATTCAACACCTGATATCACGCTGTCCAATTGATATTATATATATATAATATATATATTATATATATATATATATATATATATATATATATATATATATATATATATATATAATATATATATTATATATATATAAATATATATATATATATATATATATATATATATATATATATATATATATATATGGAATTCACTTCTGCATCGACCACTGTTCATTTTTATCGATATTTTGCATTATCCTTATTACCATATTTGCGTGGCAGACAAGCAAGCATGGCGGCTTGTACTATAAATTATGTCTTCATAGCTGTCTGTCTTTCCCGTCCGCACATTACTATACACATACTGACTTTTGCGATGTCTAAAAATGAGTTGATGAGTTATTCAGGCGAGACAGGTCGCTTTGGGAAAGAATTTAGTCGGTTCATTTTCTTGCGAGTTTGACTCTCTCTGTTTAGAGAGAGAGAGAGAAATGGGGTACTTATGGAATGCCTGCCAGAGGTTATGCAAGGTTCAGGACTGTGCAGCATTGTTTGGGTAAGTCGCCTTTAATGACACTAAGTATGTAAGCATTAACTCTCCTTATTCTCTCTTTTATCTCTTTCCACTTCTCCATTCCTTCTTGCTCTTCTCGGCCACTAAATATATTTTTCCCGTCGAGCTTTCCTCATTGTTGTTGATAAATTTATTGTTCGACTCGAACTGATGATAACTCACTTATTTTCTGACCATGTTAAGTAGAACAGTCCGTCATGTTCATGCTGCCAATATCATCACTCATGTTCACACACTACCAGTACCATCACTCATGTTCACACACTAACAGTACCATCACTCATGTTCACACTACCACCACTAGTGTGTGTGTAAGAAAGTTATGTAATTTCGTTTGTAACCGGAGTCTTTTTACCATCTATCACTCAAGTGGGTCACTTCCCAAGTCAAGCACCAGGTGAAGCAAGCGACTTGCCCATGCGTCTCGCCGACCGCGAGAATCGAACTTCAGTCATTTCCGCTGTAAGCTGAACGATTTACCACTGAGGTACAAGTAACCCCTATTAGTACTGGGGTTAACGAACACACTAATGTTTACGTGCGATATGTGTCTCCTTGACACATGAGACGCCAGAAACGATGTGCTAATTAAATAACGCATTACCACTTAAACTTGTGTGTGTGACTTAATTTATATCTACATAAATAACTCATTACGATTGTAACCAAATATAAATTCGCAAATAGTTCATTACCACTATAACTTGCTCAATTATCAAAACTTTCCGGCCCAGTGACTGGACCCATTATATGCCTCTGTAATCTTTTGACTACTGCCCACAGGATGGGTATGGAGATGCATAATAAAGATATAACTATATGTGCTACCTACCTGTACTCTCATACTTCAAACACTTTTTGAAACAGGGTAACGTATTTTGTCCTGCCTTGATTCACCCCAGGACCCCTGCCTTCTAACGTCTGCCAAATAGATTATGCTGAACATAAGTGCTAGACAACCCACAGCATTTGTCAAGATACTAACCCTGGTTCTGTTTTATACCAGGAGAACAGAGTCCATCTCAACTACGACGACGTGAGAGGCAATGAAGGTGTTTCAACTCATTCAACCCACTGCCCGAGCACCTGCTGCCCTATAACTATAAAAAGGAAAATACTGGACTCGATTTGTACCCAAGTAATAAATACTAGACGGCCCTGAGTTCGCAGCAAGCTACTTTATTAGTCAGGGAAAGAAATTGGCTCTCTTTTTTTAGCATACGAGCTGATGAGTGGGGGCGTAGCAAGATTGCATCCTAACTTGTACGTGTCCTTAACTCTTAAGAAAACGTGAAGGTCGAGCATCTCTCCCTTCTGTCGTGAAGCACCAAAGAACCTTCGGTGAATCACGACAAGCATCAGTGGCTTACCCTTGCCCGACTCAGTGGTCTGAGTTTTTCGTATTAAGAAAGAGCTTTGAGATATGAAACATTTAACATGTGTTATACCCTCTCGGAAACACAACTCTACGTAACTGTGGGAAAGCTGGCAACTCAGTCACACATTCAGTAATTAACCATACCCTGCGGTGCTTAACCTGAGTAAGCGAGCGACGTCCTCAGATTCGAATTGACCTGTATGCCGGTCGGGTCACTTGACAGCGGTGTCATAAAAGAGTAACACCAGGTTGGCCAACATACTTAAAATATTGAAACTACCGTATTTTTGTAATTTAGAAACGGCAATCAATGGCCTGGTATGGCCATTGATCGTTGTTTGGATATGGGTCATTAGACTGGTAATATCCCGAATGACTTCCCCGGGGTGACAACTGCAATGTATTTGAAATTTGGTTGGCCATGTCACTAACTGGAAGGACGAGTCGCTGCTTATTCACTAAATACGTTGTGATTTGCGTCGGCTGTTGACGAAGAAATAAGTAAGGAAGTTCAGTTTCTTGATGAGAAACTCTAGACTACAGATTCTGTAGGAAAACCTAGTGACAACCCCCACTTTTAGCGGATTGTCATAGTGGGAAAATAGATGTATGAAGTCAATGTTACCATGTAGACTTGAAACTTCAGGGTACGTTTGACATTAAGGATTTTAACAACTAAAAAATGGATAGTTGTCCTGTCCACTCTCCAGAAGTCATCAGGATTTAGTGAGTTCTGAGTAGGTTCCAGATCAAGCGATGATGAGGTTGTTGATTCATGATAAACATTTTGGGAAGTAAGCGCAGTTAACATATTGACGTTGGACACAACATTTGGAAATTGACATAAGAAAATGAGAGGTTGTGCTTGTAGAAAACGGTGTGTGGGGTCACTAGGGTGGTTATATATAGAGATGTTTCAGTCACTGGCAGAGTATAAGTCGTGAAAATATTGTTGGAAGGCATGTAGGAATGATATACTGGCAAAGTTGTCCCTTCAAGGGAAGGGAAGGTGGCGCCTTGTTCCCGGTTAAAGGCTCTTGATGTCAATTAGATCAGTCCTTCCCTTTATTGGATGAAACGTGATTAACTCTCTTTTCCCAGGTGTTGTATGGCTCTGAGATCAGAGCTCCTTCAAGGATATACAGATATATTAATAATGATAATGAGGCTTGGTAAGCTACATGTGTCTCTCTGTTTTGCAGAACAAAGATATAGGAACGAGATCTTGGTAGATGGCGAGGCTGTCTTGTTTGAGATCCTCGACACCTGTAACAAGGTCAGTTTATTTATTTTTTATATTATTGCCCCCTCCCTCCCCCCCCCCGTGTGTGTGTGAGTGTGCTTTGATGTAGTTGCAGGGGTCGAATCTAAGCTCTTGGCCCCGCCTCTAAATTTTTAGGAATCGACTCCTAGTCTTTCAGGTCACATACTAGTACCTCCTATACTTGAAGTTGCTGAGTAATTCTTCCTCCAATACTTCCTCGCCTTAAGTTTTCTTAGCCACCCAGAAACTAAAGATTTCCTAACACCTCTGTGGCACATTATTTTGTCCGTGCGTTTTAACCTGTCGCGACGTTTTGAGTATTTTGTACGTCGTAATCATATCTCCCCTGGTTATGTCTTGACTTCGATATGTCCATCTATCACAGCTGAAAAAGAAAGGTGAGCATGAAGTGAATATTAAAGGGAACTGAAGCCATTCTTTAAGAGTAGGTAAGACAGGTGTCTTGGGCGTGAAGGTATTCACAGAACTTGGACAGAAGGCCAGAACAGCACATCAATCAGTGTACAGCAGCATGACTTTCATCCACATCTAATATCAGGATGATGCATAATTTTAAGGATTATCTTATTGAATTATATAACTGACCTGTTGTAAATGACTCCTACCTGTCCTGCCGCTCACCCGAGACTAATGATCACCTGTATCAATATCACTGCTGCGAGGATAATCAGGCCAATGATAGTCCTTTGTAAGTCACACAGATGAGTCACAGGGATGTTAGGAAGTACTTCTTCGGTCATAGAGTTGTCAGGATGTGGAAAAGTTTGGAGAGTGATGTAGTGGAGGCAGGATCCACACATAATTTTAAGAGATATGATCATTTTAAGAGGTATGATAAAGTACGTGGGGCAGGGAGAGAGTGGATTTAGCAGCTACCAGTGAAGAGGTGGGGCCAGGAGCTATCAGTCGATCCCTGCAACCACAATTAGGTGAGCACTTGTTCTCTCTACTCCGGAATATTGCTGTACATTAACAGCCCCTTTTAAGGCTGGCGAAACTGGAAATCTAAAGAGTGTACAGAGAACCTTCACTGTCTGTATAAATTTAGTCAAACACCTAATCGGTAGAAACTGTCGAGAGTGTCTAGACCTGTGTCCCTTGATACACAGGCGAGGAAGAGGTGTCATAATATGAACCTGGAAATTCCTAGAGGAACTGGTTCCAAATTTTACGTACGGAAATCACTCCCAATAAAAGAAAAAGGTTCAGTTTTTATTAAGTCTTGAAAAAATATCTTACATGAATTATTATTCTTCATACTTGTATTTCTGTCATCATAAATCCGGAGATAAAACACCTCAGTTACTGGGAGCGCTTGAAGTTGCTGAACCTGTACTCCCTGGAACGCAGGCGGGAGAGATACATGATTATATACACCTGGAAAATCCTAGAGGGACTAGTACCGAACTTGCACACGAAAATTACTCATAACGAAAGCAAAAGACTCGGCAGACGATGCAACATCCCCCCAATGAAAAGCAGGGGTGTCACTAGCACGTTAAGAGACAACACAGTAAGTGTCAGGGGCCCAAGACTGTTCAACTGCCTCCCAGCATACATAAGGGGGATTACCAGTAGACCCCTGGCAGTCTTCAAGCAGGCACTGGACAAACACCTAAAGTCAGTACCTGACCAGCCGGGCTGTGGCTCGTGCGTTGGTTTGCGTGCAGCCAGCAGTAACAGCCTGGTTGATCATGCTCTAATCCACCATGAGGCCTAGTCACATACCGGGCCGCGGGGGGCGTTGACCCCCAGAACTCTCTCCAGGTAAACTCCAGACACAGACCTGTTGTACGGAACTATTAAGTAAGACTGACCTATATACCTTTAATATGTCTTTGAGTTCCGAGAGTTTTTTCTACTTCCGGAGCCCGGCCTTAGGCCAGGCTCGTCTGGTACTTGCCTAGTCAACCAGGCTGTTGCTGCTGCTGGTCCGATGATCCACCAGCTCGGTCCAAGTCCAAGCGTTCTCGTTGACCATTTGATCAGTCAGGCTGTTTGTGCCGGTTGTGCGCAGTGGCCTTTAGGTGTCACAGCCCAGCTGTTATTTTCCCCGGCCATAATCTTTTCAGCGCTAGAAACCCCCCATTTAAAATGTGAACTCTTTTTTTTTCTATAATTCAATAATACAACTAAGGAAAACAAGAATAAATGTAGGAAGACACAAATTACTCAATAAAAATAGCCCCCAAGACAGGACTCGGTCTTACATTTATACAGACAATTGTATTGTCTGGGTTTCACCAGTATCACCACTCACTGTCACCTGCAAGACTAGCATGGAGGAAATTTCGTCAATTTAAAATTTCTCCATTCCCCCTTCCCCTCACCCCCCAGAAAAACGGTTTTAACTCAAGCTGTTATCAACTGGCTTAACTTAAGAGCCTAGGCTGTCAATTGGGTTATTTTACTATCAAATAACTCGTTTATTTTCTCTATCAATCTTGTCATGATATAAAAGAGTAAGGCAGTTATCACGATAAACTGCTGCAGTTACGTACGAGAACTGTCGATTTAGAACATCTCAGTGAAATTATGGAAGGCCGTCTTTTTTTATTACAGTAAAGTCCTTTTCTATGGCTCCATTTTTTAGGGGGGAGTGCTGAGTAAGTGGTGGGGTTGGGGTGGGCAGACAGTATTAAGCATTCGTTAATGGACGGCTACACGAGTGTTAAAGGATCGTGAACCTCGCCTCATATTTGGCGCCATCAAACACACACTCCAACCAACACTACATCACTCTGGCCCACACCCTCAAGTGTGAGGGGAATTAGGGTGAAAGGAAATAGGTTGAAGAGAACTAGTGTGAAGGGAACTACGTTGAAGGGAAGGGAACTAGGTTGAAAGGAACTAGGTTGAAGGGAAATAGGTTGAAGAGAACTAAGGTGAACTTTCCTGGTTATGCTTGTGTGGGGGTTGAACTCTGAATTAAGGCTCGTCGTCTGTCCTTGGTTGTGCATGAGAGCATTGCTCCCCTACTTTAAAATCAATAATATTTTCAATGTTAAAATAGGGATTGAACTCTGCGTACACACTGCGATTTACACTTCTTTCTGTGTACTCGTATACACATCGATACAGACATCTCTCAGTATATATTCGCTGAGACATACATCTCTCTGTGTATATAATCAGTGTGAGCTCTACTCTAGGGCCTGCCTCATTACTCGTCATTTTTTTTTCAATTCTCAGCCTATTAGGATTTATGATACTTTTCTAAAAGTCCCCACTATGTATAGTCTTCCTCTACCATTTCTTCGTAGTAGATGATAAGTAAAAGATGGTAGATGGAAAGACTAACTACAGTGCTTTATTAACTAATAGTCAACCAATTTGAATCTTCAGTACAATTCATCCAGTAGAATAATTTAGTGAGCACACTGCTTGTCTTGGAGGTCCTCCTCACCAAACAGGCAGCCCAAATCAAACTAGATGTTAATGGAAAACCCATTAATATGGACCTCGCCCACTTTTACTCGAATCGAAATGTAAATGAAAAGTAATTTTTTCATCTTCAAGAGCTTAGAGATCGTAGTGATGATGCACAGGAAGCTGAACTAAACTTCATGTAGAGAAGTAACATTGAGCTGCCTCTAATGTCTCGAGGGTAGAGGGAGACTGTTGTTTTATGAGAGTGTCAGGCTGTGATGCTTGGACCGCTTACAGCCAGCTAGCACCAACAGGTCAGTCCTGGTGTAGGGCCGGGCCTAAAAGGGAACGGGGCGATATTTGCACAACCCATCAACAGGTAGCTTGGTAGCAGTGGTCTACAGAATTATGCATTTGACAAGTACCGAACTGTCTCCTGTTGGTCTGTGCTTTCATGTATGAATACGTCCCTGTGGCCTGGTGGCTAAAGCTCCCGCTTCACACACGGAGGGCCCGGGTTCGATTCCCAGCGGGTGGAAACATTTCGACACGTTTCCTTACACCTGTTGTCCTGTTCACCTAGCAGCAAATAGGTACCTGGGTGTTAGTCGACTGGTGTGGGTCGCATCCTGGGGGACAAGATTAAGGACCCCAATGGAAATAAGTTAGACAGTCCTCGATGACGCACTGACTTTCTTGGGTTATCCTGGGTGGCTAACCCTCCGGGGTTAAAAATCCGAACGAAATCTTATCTTAACTCTCTGTCTCTGTCTCTCTCTCTCTCTCTCTCTCTCTCTCTCTCTCTCTCTCTCTCAGGATTACCAACATTTGTTTACCACAGTTCCTGCCAGCCTAAACTATAGAATTTTTCTCCCAAATCTTTCAAGTGTTACTCACCATTTTTCCCCAAAATTCAGATAAACACTATTTCCGCCATTTGTTCCACCTCCTTTTATAGCTCTGTGCATTTCCCTGATTGTTTCTTTGACATATCTCCGAATTACCCAACACAGAAAGTCGGTATTATCGTACCTCAAAGTCGTAACAAATGGCGAAGTTATATACATTGGAAGGTATATAAATATCGGAGTATGTACACTGGAATTCATATGCATTCAGTGTAGATACTGAGAATTTGATGTAATCTCTATTTTAAGTATTAAAGTATTCTTTATTGGTGGTGTACAGGTGACGTGATGCCTTAGTAATGACCTTCCTATAGTAGTAGATAGTAATGGAGAATAATAAATCATCCAACACTTAAATCACTAATATTAATCTCTCTCTCTCTCTCAAACCATACCCCGGCCGGGATTGAACCCGCGGTCAGAGTGTCTCTCTCTCTCTCTCTCTCTCTCCTCTCTCTCTCTCTCTCTCTCTCTCTCTCTCTCTCTCTCTCTCTCTCTCTCTCTCTCTCTCTCTCTCTCTCCTCTCCTCTCCTCTCTCTCTCTCTCTCTCTTCTCTCTCTCTCCTCTCTCTCTCTCTCTCTCTCCTCTCTCTCTCTCTCTCCCCCCAGGAACATCCTGTTAAACACACAAACCTAAACATCTAGACTTGCGTTGTAGGAACTGTGTTTATTTTCCCAGGAGGATGACTTCTATACGAGGAAGAGGAGTAAAAGG